TTAGCTCAGATACTGTTAGAAATTGAAAAGAAAACTTGACTTTTTTGTTCATTCACCCAATTGATCAGCGAGAGAGAGAAAAATAAAGGAAACAGAGTAATAGGAAAGGAGATTGAATTCCAAAACCTTTTACTGCACAGGATGCTCATTCACTAATTCCCAAAGTTACTTTGGTCTAATTCCATTGCTCTTGTCAAGTTATAAGTAAGTTCAACTGTTAACACCAACCCTCTGATGTTAAGACATTTATAAGTAAAGAATAAAAAAACTTACATTATACAGGATATCCCAAAGAATGCTATAGGCCATGAAGTGTAATCATTACTGTAGTGGAATGCTGTTATTTTTCTGTATAGCGAGAGGAATAAAAGTACAAAGAGTTAGAAATTACACTACAGCTCTACACTATTTTGATTTGATGACTCATTAAGTAATGAAAGTATTACAAGGCAAGCCTTGAAGAGGATATATTGGTTTTGGATTTGTAGCTTGCATTTTCCAAACCAATACCAGAACTCCAAAAATTATGAGGACAAATTGCACAAAGTATGATTGAATTCCTTGTAGTTTGCAAGATTAATGTCAGCATTTTTAAGCTCTTAATCAGAGTAACTTAAATAGACGGAGAAAAGCATTTCCACTGGTTGTGAAGTTTAGTACTTTAGAAATTAGAAAAAGAGCTTTTCTGGAGTAATGTTAGAAAACAACTCATTAGCAAAAGATGGTAGAGGTTTGGAAATCTCTTCAGTAAATTATAATCAATATGATATCAATTGATAATTTTGAAACCGAAGTCTGTGAGTTTTTGTTACCTCTTGCTATTATGAGATATGGGATAAAGCTGGGTATATGAGGTCAGGTCACAGATCATCACTGAATGGTGTAGCAAGCTCAAGATAAATGGTTTAAATCTGTTCCTATATTTATGTGTGATATAGGAATCTTGAATTAACTGCAAGAATACTGTCATTTTCATCAGTCATTTAACTTGCTTGTTTCAAGAGCCAAAGTGTACCACGATTACAAATGTAAGTGAATTGGTAAAATACTTGTTCCATCTTTATTATCGTGAACACTTAAGCATCAAATGCTTAAACGGTATTTAATTAGACCCTCAAGAAGTTCTGGTTGTGAAAATGCAAACACTAATTATCTGTCTTTTTGCATTGCATGGGGAGGCAATGGCCTAGTGGTGTTATCGCTGGACTGTTGATCTGGAGACTCAGATAATGTTCTGGTTGACCCAGGTTCGAACCAGATGGTGGAACTTGAATAAATATCTGGAATTCAGAGTCTAATGATGACCGTGAATGCATTGCTGATTGTCGGGAAGAAACCATCTGGTTCACTAATGTCCTTTAGGGAGGGAAACCGCTATCCTTACCTGGTCTGGCCTACATGTGACTGCAGACCTACAGCAATGTGGTTGACTCTTAACTGCCCTCTGGGCAATTAGGGATGGGCAATAACCGCTGCCTAGCCAGCGACACCCTCATCCTGTGAATGAAGAAAAAAAATGTCTAAAGCCAAAAGAAGCATGCTTTCAGTTTAATTGTGTGCTGAATTTCAGGCACCAAAATATTAACTGTCGAGAGAAATCAGTTAACGTTTTGGGTTGAGTGACCCTTCTTCAGAACACGATCCAAAATGTTAACTCTGATTTCTCTCCACAGACGCTGGCAGAGCTGCTGAGCTTTTCCAACAATTTCTGTTTCTGTCTCTGATTTACACCATCCACAGTTCTTTTGATTTTTATCAAAATATTAACTCACTGGTAACTATTAACAAAATTTGAAGCAGTGCACGTTTTGGGGGAGCAAGTTGGTGGTTTAGAATAAAACAAAATCTGAAAGAACTTGGAAAATGTGTATTGTAATCCAAGGAAAAGCAGTTATTGTGCTGATGTGGGAATGTCAACACAGACATAGTGCAGGACTGAGTTTTAAGTTGGCAGCTTTGCTGAGATCGCTGAGGTACTGGCTGTTAACAGGATTATTGGTAATTGGTTTAAGTTGGCTTTGTTGTTCACCTCTGTAACAATTGTTAGCTTTGGGAGGGTGTTTTTGACCAGTTTACATTTGTCTTTTACTGGCCTGGCAACAGGAATTACAGACTGATTCGGAGCAGCTGGAACGAGGAGATCAGCAGATTTGATTAGTTCTTCAAAATGATCTTGCTGACCAGCTAACTGATGTACTTCTGTTGGCTCCCTAGAAATATTACTGTTTTCTTATGGAGATGGTGAAAGGAAGAAGATTAGTACTTTTCAAAGCCCATCTTGCTACTGATACTGCTTTTATTTCCTGTTAAATATCGACCATAACAGATTACTTTTATTACTATTATTTAACTACATACTATTACGTTTCAAAAGTAATAGCTGTGAAACACTTGGTGCCTGAAGATTTGACAGGGAGCTAGATTTTTTGAGTTCTTTCTTCATTTTGCTTTAACAGTGGGTACTCACTGATTTGCAGAATTTGCAAATGTCATTAGCCTTTCCCATTGTGCTAGTAATAGTCATGATTTTCTTTCTAAAGCTGAGTTAAAAGCATTAGATCAAAATTTTAGAAGATGGTGTCACATTCTTAACAAGCTGTCCACCAGAGGCCCTAAAGGTGAAAATTTGTTATCAGGCAAACCTTTTTCGCCTTCAAATAAGGCTGTAGAACTTTCTTTATGCCCACATGAGTCACAGAATCAGGTGGCAAGTCATTAGTTTATTGTCTGGAAGATGGCACCTTTGACATCACTTCAGATTATGAGTGGAAATCTGTGTTTATGTGGCTCAAACCAGCAAGTGTCTGACTAAGAACTGAATGTGCTGCTAGCTGAACTAAACTGGCATCCGCGGAGTCTGTGCTTTCAAACGATTGTGTGGACAGCTGCCAAGAGATCTAGCTTGTGATCAGTGAAGAGTGAATTTATGAGCAATGAGGAATAGGTATGAATAAGCTCCTAGCACAGTAAGCAAGCCTGGAAGTCTTGGCATTTGATGAAAGTATTTAACTTGGTGTAAGTGCTAGCCATCTATAATGTATTGTGCTTGTGATTATAAACATGTTGTAAAATTACTAATGCATAAAATAATGGTTCATAGTGCTGCATAAAATAATAAACATTCTCTCACCATTCTTATCATACCATCCTTAACATCCATCTCCAGTAATGCTCAGCAAAAAATAACTCCTCGTAAAGGAATCTGCCCTCCAAAATGATCAGAAGCACATAATTGTATTCTTACATTCTAAGCTCTGGCAAAGTATCTCATGAATGTGTAGACCTGTAGAACTGAACCCCTGCACCTCCTATTCAACCCATTTGCACTAGTGTACAATCACAGCTCTGTGCAGATTTTCTCATTCTGTCAATTCCTTTTGGGAATTCCTGACTGGATCAACGTACTGAAGCATGGCAATAAAATGCATCACTTGGACTTAAATCACCATTGGGCTATATTAAGTTAATCATAAAAAGGTGTTGAAAATCATGCAACTGTGTCTACTTCCTATATTTTATTTGCCAGTATTCTATTGTTAAAGTAAATCTCCCACATGCGTGTTAAAAGATTTTCTCTTAATTATAGGGTGGTGCTGCAACATCTAATACCACAGTGTAATAGGATACAGATTCTTACCCCTAATGTTCTATACATTGTAGGTGTACCTAGTTTCAACTAAGTTGGTAAAGCAGATGTTGAATACCTTTGAGAAAGAATGATGTTGAGGGGGTGGGTGTGTTTTTTCAGTTGCATGATTCTATTCTCAATTTGGCATTTGCTGTCATTGTCACATAGGTTTTCACTTTCATGATCTCCCCCCACCTCTGTTTTTCTGTCTGGCTTTTATAATCTGTCTGGCTCTCATAATCAACCTTATATTGTGTGTTTAAGAATTTGAAAAGGTAGGTGGAGAAAGGAGTAAGTTGAATCGATTGTTGACAATACATGTGAAAGTTATCTATTAGACACACTAGTTTTATATCTTAAACAACACTACAAACCTTAAAACACTCTGAGCATTTCTCCATGAAGCAAGACTAGGTTTTGTAATCTTGAAAAGGAAACCTCCAGAATTTAAAGCAGTTACGATAACACTGGCATATCTACTCATGGTATTAATTTAAACTGAACTACTTGAGTAGTATTTCAGTACCACCCCTGAAAACTGTTGCTGAAAATTTTAAATTTTAGCAAGAGTCACTTCTAATGCAAAAATGCACAACAATTAATCTAGATTAAACTATGCTCACTAATGGCTAAAAGGTGTGATCAAACTAAAGGGTAAGGAGACCAAACAATTATATTTTTGGGAGTAGTGGATAAGGGAATAATGGATGTTGGTCCTGAACTTATTGTAAAGCAAATTTCAAAAAGAATCTCCAAGAGTGATTAATTTTCATATAATTTTAAATAATTAATTTGAAATGCTGAATTTTTTTCAAAGAAAAGTCAGTTGCTCAATATTTTTAAAATTGTTTTATACAAGGAGGAGGATTATCAGATTCCGGAATCCATTGCAATCTTGCACTTTCTTTTTGTGGGTTTGCATTTACCAAAATGTTGGTTACAGGGATCCAATAGACCAAAAAGAGCCTAGAGACTCTACAAAAGATGACCTTGTAGTCTGTTTCATGAAAAATTAATTGACTGGAAAACATTAATTCACAGCCTGAAAGGGGCTTGTCTGGAGCCACTGTGCTAATATTGTTATCTGCACAATTATGAGTTGCCAATCATCTATGATGCTCTCATGCCATTCACTTGTAAATTGCAAGATTGTGTGAGAAGTCCTCCATACTGCAGTATGATGATTGAACAATGTATTTACCATCCAAATTAATAACCATTCTAAAATTAATGCGCAAATAGTTTGTAAGTTGTAACATTACAGTTTTTGGAAAATGGGTTTTTTTTTAAAAGTTCTGTACTTTTTAAGTTTTTGCAATGCCGTGAGAACTCAGTTAATATACGCATCTATTTTGACCTATTTCTTTATCAGTGTTTTCATCTGTGAGCTTGCTTCTCCAACCTGAACGGTCAGCAACACTAATGGTGTATGAAGACGTCGTTCAGATTGTCTCTGGATTTCAGGGTATGTACTGACAGAATAATTTCAAACCATTTCTTAAATAGAAAAGACGAGATTTCACACCAAAACTGCCTTCAAGTGACTATGTCCTATTTTCATTTCTTTTTAAGTTTGTAAGCTATGTTTAAAAACATCGTGCAATATTTTTGTAAAGGAACATTATTTTCTTGCACTTTTAAAAAATGATATCCTTGTAATCTGGAATTTATGGTGTAAACATATATATCATTCTCCAGAACAGCATTCGCTACCTTTGCTCCTTTGAAACTGATGACAGTACTTAGAGTCCATACACATGCTGTTAAACACTGAGGCATAATTGGGTTTTTAAACACAGGTGAAGAGCCTTCCTTGCCACGAAATCTGATTTAATGTTTGTATAATGTCAACTGTTTCTATTCCAGTAACTGCAAACGTTTAATACACTTCTAAAGTTTGATATTTCAGCTGCTAATAAATATGTCAGAATCATTTATTTTAATGTCTGGAGAATGTCTTAAATGTGAAGGATATTTGATGCTTTTTACTTCTTAGTTTGCAGTCTCTGAGAATTAGCTGATTGGTTGCTTAGCCTGTTTGATCATTTATTGTTGTCAGACGTCTGAAAATCCTCTAGACTTCTACTGGATTCAAATGGACATTCACAAAGCTGAAATTCATGTAACAGAGATTGCCAGACCTTTGTGAGACATTTTCTTAAAGGCCAACACTGTGAATGCTATTGCTTTGATGATGACCATAGAGTTTAGGACTTACTTTCCTCTACTTTTAACCCACAGAAATCTCAATTCATGGTGGTTGTCCCTCTGAAATAACATGTTTAGTGAAATCACATCATTGTTTCTTCTTAGACTGTCAACATAGTCTGATAAATATTGGCTTCTTCTCTACCCCGTCAATTATATACAATTATGGAAGAGAGATCATCTATGTATTTAGAATCATAAGATCCCTACAGTGCAGACAGCAGCCATTCGGCCCATCATGTCTGCACTGACTCTCCGAAGAACATCCCACCCAGACCCACATTTTTGCAGTATACTTTGGTTATTGGTACTTTGCAACATTTTATAAATTGGATTTATGAAGGTAATGTCATATTTGGGTCTCCAGTCAGTTTTTGACTTATTAATATCTGTCCAGAATTAGTGTGCCGAGTCCAGTAGAAATTGCAGAGTCAAGTCAGCTTCATATTACATTGTGGATGTGTGAAATTGCTTCCAGCAGTGGGAACTCATTGGAGGAGTAATGGGAAATTACAGATGTGATGCATAAGAACAAAACAATCTGCAGTCTTTTCAGAGTTGATGATATTTCTAGAATGCATTTCATTCTTTGCAAAGGCTCTTTTGAGTGGGTTATCAAACACCTATACAGCGTGGTGAAAAATTGAAACCCTTGTCTGTTAGTTAAAAGATGGAGTGGCACAGAATAAGGTGTATGTCAGGAAGAGATAGGATGAGGCATGGAGAATAGTGTCCCCAAAGCATAATGTGTATGGAATCTGAGGAAAGAATGCATCTAATGTTTATGCCAATTGGTACTGACACCTTCATGGCAAATGTTTTGAGTTCCCTTGCTTAGACTAGCATATGCTTCTCTGAAGTCCTGAATTCCATATGATCATTACCATCTAGCTGCTGGTCTGCTTGTTGTTGCAGATGGATAGCTACCAGTGGATGCAGTTCAACTTTGATGCAGCTTCATCTTTCTTGCATCTTTAATTACTCCCCTTATTCCTCCTTTTAAAATACAATGGTAAAGGGGTATTCTCTACCATGGGCCACCAACAAGCCATGGCCCAACTTCCTGGCTGATTTAAGTAACGAGAAACAAGAATTAAATCCTTAAGAAACTGCTGCAGATCTTTTCTCAGAGATCTTTTAACTAATGTTCATAAAACAGCCTAAGGGCTTGTTAAATGGAGAGGTGTACTACATGAGGCTACAACTTGCCTGCAAACTATAATTAGATCATTGGAGCCTAACTTGAAAATTACAAACCTATGGCTTCTTTTGGTGTGATGCAAAACCTAACCACAAAATTAGTTGGGTTAATTCTGCCTTAACCATGATCTGAGCTGAATTTTCTCTCACCCACCTTCAAAGAATACGTCTGATGTTTTGAGATATAACTGATCTAACTGGTGCTATTACTATCTTTATTTACTCTAGGATTCATGAGAAAATGGGTGCTGGAATAAAGTAATTCATAGTTTGTTTTATGTTTCATTAGTTGACGTTGAAAGGTAATGCTTATATGGTAATTTCTTATGAGAAGTGATTGATAAGTCCTTACTTGCTTTGATCCATAGGTGCTCTAATTCAGCCTCGAATCCAGTTCCAGAGAAGGTCTCTCAACTTGCCAAAGAAGTCAAACTATAGAAATTTGGTAGCTTTTCTTACAGTAGCTACCACCCCTTGGGAAGTAGGTAATTTCCCATATCTACAAGGAATTGATGTAAATCAAACAGGTAAGGCACAGATATCAAACAGAGCAAACTGTTTCACAGAGTTAAAATGCACCCAGTCCTCTTCATATTGCTCTCTTAAATACATTTCAGGAATGGTGCAGCAATTACTGCCAACTATTTTACTACTTTACACAGCTATTATGATTTGATATGACTACAAAATATTGTCACATTTCCTCTGTAACTAAAAATCTAAAGTACCTTCATGTTGATTTTCTCACTAAAGAAAGTAATAGTAACAGTCATTAAGATGATCAGAGCGAAACAGTAATTTAATCATTCTCCTCAGGGGAAATGTTCTAAGATGATCAAACATGAAGCATACATGGCTACTCCTACTGGTATAAATCTCTCCATCATACTTCCAGGCAGTGCATTCCAGACCCTAACTACTCACTGTGTGAAAAAGTTTCTTCTCACATCCCATTTGCTTCTTTTGAAAATTAATTTAAATCTATGCCCTCTCATTCTTAATCCTGTTTATGAGTAGGAATAGTTCTCCCCATCTGCTCTGGCCAGCTCTTTCATTATTTTGAAAACCTCAATCAAATCTCTTCTCCTTTCCAAATGCCAACTTCTTCAATCTATCTTCATAATTGAAGCTTCTCATTCCTGAAACCATTTTCAAAAACTTCTTTGCACTGTCTCCAATGCATTCACTTCCTTCCTGAAATATGGTAACTAGAACTGTACACAGTACTTCAGCTGAGGTCTAATTAGTGTCTTTACAAGTTCAGCACCATCTCCTTGCTCTTGTACACTATGCCTGTATGAATAAAGTCTAGGACACAATATGCTTTATTAACAGGTCTCTTTGCCCATCCTGCCACCTTTAATGACTTATGCCCATATATACCCAGGTCTGTCTGCTCCTGCACACCATTTAGAATAGCAACCTTATTTTGTACTATGTCTCCATGTTTTCTCTTCAAAAGGTAGCATCTCTCACTTCTCTGCATTGAACTTCATACGCTGCTTCTCTGCCTACTCCACTAACTCCATAATGGCCCTTTGAAGTTCTACACTATCCTCCTCACAGTTTACAGTGCTCCCAAGTTTTGTATCTTCCCCAAACTTTCAAATAGTCCCTTGTACACAAAGGGCTAGATCATTAATATAAATCAGGATATAAATGAAGGGTCCCAATAATAACCCCAGGAGAACTCCAGCACAAGTGTTCCTCCAACCCATAAAAATACCAGCTAACAAGTATTGTTTTTTTCCTTTTACTGAAACCATTTTGTACCTACACTGCTACGACCCCTTTGATTCCATGAGCTCTAACTTTGTTCAGAGGTCTGTTGTGCAGCATTATATCAAAGACCTTTTGGAAGTCCTTGTACATCTAATCAACAGCATAACCATCATTAACTCCTCTCTGATACCTCTTCAAAGACTCCAGGTTTGTTAAAAAATGATTATCACTGAGGAAACCCATGCTGTCTCTCCTTGCACACAGTTGTCCATGTCACTATTAATTGTGTTCTGAATTATTGTTTCTCAAATTGAAACTAACTGCTCTGTGATTGCTGGCTTATCCACCTGTCTTGAATAAGAGTGTAAAATCTTGCATTTCTCCAGTCTGGTGGCACAACATTTAGGTTACAGAAGAATGAAAATTTGGCCAGTGCCTCTGCAATTTCTACTCCCTCTTCCTTTGGTATCCTCAGTTGTATGCAATTGGTCCCAATGCTTTGTCAGCTATAAGTACAGTCTATCCCATACCTCATCCTTTTTCATCCAGGGAGCTCGGTATTTGTCCTTTGAGGGATTATATCTTGCCTGTGCTTAACACATCTCTTCTTTGAAGGTAGCCCACAGTTCAGCTACAGGTCTTCCCGCCAGTCTTTGGCTCCAGTATATCCCAGCCAGCTTCATTTTGGTCCCATTGGAGTCAGCTCTGTCTTAGTTAATTGTTCTTATTCTTTTTTATTATTCCATGGTAATGGCTTGGAGGAAAGCCTGCAGGTGGTGTTGTTCCCATGTATCGGTTACTCTTGTCCTTGATGGCATTGGTCATGGGTTTGGAAAGTGCTTTGTAAGGACACTTGGTGAATTTCTGCAGTACATCTTGTAGACGGTACACATTGCTACTACTAAACGTCGGTAGTGGAGGGATTGAGTTTGTGGATATCATGCCGATCAAGCCAGATGATTTTTCCTGGGTAGTGTCAAGCTTCTTGAGTATCATTGGAGTTGCAGTCATCCAGGTAATTGGGGAGTATTCCATCACACTCCACACTAGATTGTGGACAGACTTTGGGAAGTCAGGACCTGAGTTACTCACTGCAGCAGGATTCTTAACCTCTGACCTGCTCTTGTAGCCAATGAATTTATAAAGCTGTTCCAGTTAAGTTTTTGCTCAATAGTAAGCCTCTCCAGGATTTTGAAAATGACAGATTCAGTGATGGTGATGCCATTGAATGTCAAAGGGCGATAGTTAGATTCTTTTTAATTTGAGGTGGTCACTGTCTGACATTTTACCATTTGAATATCACCTGTTCACTGTTCTTCTCCACTGTCAGAGACCTTATGATATGATGATCAATATCCCATAAATGTTTCCCGTTTGTCATTTGATCTACTGGGCCCACCTCATTCCTAAGAACCAGGTCAATCAACGCTTCTTCACTTCCTGAACTGCTGCAGAAAATTCTCGTTTACATTCTTGCTTAGCCTCTCTGCCATTTACACTACCGCTATCTCAGCCTACTTTCAGTTACTTATGTCTCCCATTATGACAACATATAATATTTAATAATGAATCCTCTGGGATATTCTCTTTCTCCAACACTGCATTGTCCTCCTTAATGAATACTGTAGTTCTTCTTCTTTCGTTCCTGAACAGGAATATTTAAACAATTTTGTTCTTCTTTGAGCCAGGTCTCTTTTATGGCCATAACATCTTAATTCCACTTGATAACCTGTGCCTTTATGTTATCAATCCCATTTATTATATGCCACACATTCACAAACATGCACTGTAATGCTGTTTTAGAATGTTTTAATTGATTTACTGTTCTCTTTTATAGTGCTAATTGTCACTGCAAGTATTTAGCAAAGGAGATCTTTTGCAGCTAACAAATTTCAAGTTTATTCATGAGGAAGCCCATGATTCTCCTTGTGGGTTTTGTCTCCTCACACCTTAAAGTCATTGGAATATCTGGAGAATTAAGCATGGTCTTATTTATCTGTTCTTGCTCTATTTGTTTATGTTAAGCAATAAACTTAATCAGAAATACTGCAGAAGATAAATTCTGCTGAGCCTGGCAATCTGAGATAAAAACCCGAAATGCTGGAAGGAACCAGTGATTTGGGCAGCATGTTGGAGAGAGAAACAGTTAAGGCTTTCGAATGGATGATGATTCATCAAATGAATGGCCATTGATCCATCGCAATTGCATTGAATTTTAGCACCAGGGTCAATTGTGGCAGTCACCTAAATTTGAGGACCCTGGAGGAGATTCTTTAGTTAGGCAGCCAAACTAATTAGGCTGGGAGGTCCAATGGGATCACCGAGGGTGTGGATGGCCGGCAACTCTGAGTTGCTAGCTGTAGGATGGTGACCATAAATGCGCCACAAAATAGAGGCAGCCTCAGAAGTCTTGTAAATGGTGTAATCTATACTGTGACCACCACTGTTAGGCCGTTCTTGCAGAGGAGAACACGCTTCCCAGGATACTGCAGCTGTGAATCTCACAACCCACTGATTCCCATGCTCAGCTGCTTTGCAGGATGTGCCTTTAACTGCTGTGGCCTACAGTCAGTGGATTACCAGCATTCAATCAATGGGCTCCAGCCAAGTTGGGGATCCTGACTGTTATCTGGAAAATTCACACGGTGTGTGAATTCCCTTTACTTTGATCAGCCACCCGTCAAATCCCCAGAAGCTGGCTCCCTGGAAATATGCTAGAGGCAGACTAGCTGATAGCAAGACATTGTTGACATGCCTGACTCCATCTCTGGACAAATATTCAAGCTTTTGAATTTGTGAGGCCCTCGACAAGGTCCCACCTAGTAGAATGGTTAGTACGGTTAGATTGCATGGGATCCAGGGAGGACAAGCCAACTCGATACAGAGACAGAGGGTGGTGGTAGAGGGTGGTTGTTCAGACTGGACACCTATGACCAATGGTGTGCCTCAAGGATCAGTGCTGGGTGCACTCTTTTCGTTATTTTCATAAACAATTTGGATGAGTATATAGGAAGCATGGTTAGTAAGTTTGTGGATGACCCCAAAATTGGTGGTATAATGGACAGCGAAGAAACTTATCTAAGAGTCAACTAGGCCAGTTGGCCAAGGAATAGGAGACGGCATTTACTTTAAATAAATGTGAGGTGTTGCATTTTGGTGAGATGAACCAGGGCAGAAATTACACAGTTAATGGTGGGGCCCTAGGGAGTATTGTAGAACAGAGAAATCTAAGGTGCAGGTTCATAATTCCTTGAAAGTGGCGTCACAGGTAGACAGGGTGGTGAAGAAGGCATTTGGCAGGCTTGCCTTCATTGGTCAGAGCATTGAGTATAGGAGTTGGGAAGTCATGTTTCGACTGTGCAAGACATTGGTAAGGTCACATTTGGAGTATTGCGTGCAATTCTGACCATTCTGCTTTAGGAAGGAGGTTATTAAACTGGAAAGGGTGCAAAATAGATTGAAATGAGGGTTTGAGTTATAAGGAGAGGCTGGATATGTTGGGACTTTTTTCCCTGGAGCATAGGAGGCTAAGGGGTGACTTAAGGGGTGACTTTATAGAGGTTCATAAAATCATGAGGGGCATAGATGAAATGAATAGCCAAAGTCTTTTTCTGAGGGTAGGGAGTCCAAAAGTAGAAGGCATAGGTGAGGGGGAATGATTTAAAAGGGACATGAGAGCAACTGATTCACACAGAAGGTGGTGTGTGTCTGGAACGAGCTGCTAGAGGAAGTGGTAAAGGTGGGTGCTATTACAACATTTAAAAGACATTTGGACAAGTACATTAATAGGAAAGGTTTAGAGGGA